CATTTCCATCCCTCGCTGGACAACCCTCGAAATGGTGTCTTTGACACCAGGCCCTCTCAGACCCTGGTCCTCCTGATCGACTTCAAAAATGAGGGTCACAGGATCTGGCCACATGTCTCTGCACAGCTCCAACCTCTCCGAGAGCGGAGACTTCTCAGTTACTTCAACGGCTCCGGCGTGGTCGAAGGGCCCGTCACCGTGGTGGTCACGGGAAATGCGCCCTGGGACGAGGTGGTATCCAACCAGACATATCGTGATATGTTCTTTGACGCACCCCTCGACTTGATGGGAAAGCTGACTGACCCCAATGATGCTGCCGAGGCACCCATGGATACGCAGGGTGGTGAGCTTGACAGGCGGTGGGATCAAAATCAGGGCCAAGGCCGGTCCGGTGCCGCGCCTACCGACCCTGCAGTCTACTCCCAAGCCAACTCGTACTACGCCTCTGTATCGTTCAACGCCGCTGTTGGCTGGCCCTGGCGTGGCAATCTTTCTCGCCGTCAACTCGAAATGATGCGGAAGCAGATTGCTGGGGCTCACGCTCGTGGGCTCAAGGTCAGGTACTGGAGCGTACCCAGTTGGCCGAGAGGAATGAGAAATTATCTCTGGCGGACAATGGTCAAAGAAGGAGTGGACTATTTGAACGTAGACGATTTGAAATCCGCGGCTTCGGGCGACTGGAACTGGGATAAAAGAGGGCCTTGGTTCAGTGGGCCGTGGAGATTTTGGCGGTCCAAGGCGGCTGCATGAGCCAGAAATGTACTGGACACGAAAAAAACACCATGACTTGAAGATTGAAGACGAATTTTACTAGATACGACCATGTGAGACCCCCCACATACAAAAGACCATGGCGATGGAGATGAGAGCTTGGTTCGAGATCGGTCCTACAAAACAGAGGCCCAGATCTACGCACGAGCACGGTTTCACGGAATTACAGCTGCCACTGGATTGGTTGAGCCAGGCGTTTAATCAGGAATGAGGACGGAGTTCTGCAAAAAAAGATCACTGCCGGGAACATGGGCAGCATTATGATACCCAAGCTTAGAGCATACATTGGTCACAGGATGAGTTACAAATACAACGATTACTGGCCTTGACGGTGTGTGTCCTTTGTCCCATCCTTTCCTTGCCCTTCTCGACAGTGCCTTCCTTCATCTAGCCAGTGATGTTATCAGCTCCAATGACTTGCTGGATTAGAAAGGTCGGTATTGTCCTGGTCGAGCTTGCCCCGTCGCGCTCCCATCAGTTCAAAGGTTCTTCTTCGTCTTCTCCCATCTAGATCCTTTCCCTTTGATATGTACTCGATATTATCTTCGGTCGCATCACATTACTCTGATTTACTTTACATTTACTATCAGCACATTCAGCAATATGTCATCTTCACACGCTGAATCCTCGACGAATGCGTCGAGCACATTGTCATCCTCTCACGAACCTCAGGAAGCCACCAGAGCCTGCGGTCGCACCCAGGCAAGGGAGACTGATGTTGAGAACGTCGCTGCAAGTGTTGCCAGGGATGGACGAGACACGCCGTCAACTGGTGTTGCCACTGTGGAACATGCCAGGGCCCGATGCCCACGCAGCCAGACACGAACCCAGAAAACCGTCCTCGGCCAAATTGTGCTTCTGTTCCTCTGTGTCCAGATCGTAGCCGTCGGAGGCCTCGCTCTTCTCGCTCAACTCGGATCCCGTTACGTCTCAGCCTGGTTATTCAAACATTCGACGACAGGCTTCTACATCTTCTTCTTCACACAGGCTGTCGGCATGCAGATTTACTACCATGTCATGCCGCTTTCAACCGCCGAAGGGTCCTGGACACGCTTTCTGGAGAAATGTGCGGTTTTCAGCGTCAAAACACTCATTGTCGTCGTCGTAATTGTGCAGATGGTACACGTTTACTGTTCAATCGCCGAGCACAGGAAACTCCGCATGGGTGTTCAGTGGGATGTCCGACAAGAGTTTGGCGGCTTTGAACGCAAACCATGAGCAGCGCAGACCTCTCTTGTCAGCATCGAGCCGGTCAGAACCAGTGGTCGATTCCATCTTTTGCTTAAAGAGCCAAGAACCACTGATGGGCATTGCTTTGTTTTCGGGGGTGGATAATACCACGCTTGTGGCAACACAACTCGTCCGGAACTCTGTTGGATTTAGGTGAAAACAATGCATAGTACAAAATGAAACCTTAGTTGCATTTGGAATACCACAGAACTACTATCCCGCGCAGTTTTCAGTAGATTTTAAAGGTTGTACCTCTCAGCCTTGAGCCTTGAGTCTTTCAGCCTCGTGTCGCCACAGCCTCGTCGACAGCAGCACGTGAAAGGCTGCGACAGTCAAGGCTTGGCGAGTTTGCAGGCTCCTCCCACCTTTTCGAGGTCGAACAAGATCATTGTCTTTTCCACTCTCCGCCATCGAAGTCTAGGTCCAGCGAACATGGCCGCCGCAGCACAGGCCCTATCAGAACGGACACGGACGCTGTTTGGCAGCTCGTACGGCGAAGCGACCGACGCCACGTCCCTCCCCGTCTCCCTCTCCCTCTCTTTCAAAAGAAAGGTCGAATATGAAAGCGTGCGCGAACTCCCCCGGGCCCTGGCCGAGAAGCAGGCAAAGGCCGCGGCGGCGCGGGGACCTAAAAGACCCAAGATGGCAACAACAACGGGGAACAATCAGATGGCGTTGGTGAAGAGCGAGGCGAAAGCCGGATCACAGGCGTCCGGGTCGTCGTCGTCGTCGTCGTCGCAAAGCAATGGGATAGGGAGCAGTCTGATCCGCAGACCGAATATGCAGCAGCCTCGACCCGATTGGCATGCGCCGTGGAAGTTGATGAGAGTGATATCGGGTCATCTGGGCTGGGTGCGCGCGCTGGCGGTTGAACCTGACAACCAGTGGTTCGCGTCCGGCGCGGGAGACAGGACCATAAAAATCTGGGATTTGGCCACAGGTCAACTCCGCCTGACGTTGACGGGTCATATCTCCACGGTCCGAGGGCTGGCTGTATCGCCGCGCCATCCCTACCTTTTCTCCTGCGGTGAAGACAAGATGGTAAAATGCTGGGACTTGGAGACCAACAAAGTTATCCGACACTACCATGGCCATTTGTCGGGTGTCTACACACTGTCACTACATCCGACGCTCGACGTGCTGGTTACGGGAGGAAGAGACGGTGTCGCTCGTGTTTGGGACATGCGCACGCGCTCCAACATCCACGTCCTCTCCGGTCACAAGGGCACCGTTACGGACGTCAAGTGCCAAGAAGCAGACCCTCAAGTCATCTCATCAAGTCTGGATTCCACGGTGCGACTATGGGACCTCGCCGCGGGCAAGACCATGGGCGTACTCACACATCATAAGAAAGGCGTCAGGGCGCTAGCCATCCACCCGAAAGAGTTCACATTCGCGTCGGCGTCGGCGGGATCGATCAAACAGTGGAAGTGCCCCGAGGGCGCGTTCATGCAGAACTTTGACGGGCACAACGCCATCATCAACACTCTTGCTGTGAATGAGGACAATGTGCTCTTCAGCGGTGGCGATAATGGGAGTATCTGCTTCTGGGATTGGAAGACCGGACATAGGTTTCAAAGCACCGAGTCCCTAGCGCAGCCGGGGTCCTTGGACGCAGAGGCGGGCATTATGAGTAGCACGTTCGACCAGACCGGGCTGCGGCTGATTATGGGCGAGGCGGATAAGACGATCAAGATTTGGAGACCGGATCCCGAAGCCACGCCAGAGACGCATCCGCTGGATTGGAAACCGACCTTGGGTCGGGTGAAGTATTGAAGACCCCGGAGCTGTGCTTTTGCAACATGGTGGCTGTGACAGAGAGTGTTTGAAAACATTGAATGGCATTTTGCATTGAGCGACGGCGTAATGGAGGTATTGATCCTGGGAAGGGTTAAGGAGTGCTCTGATCACAAGCACCACACGGACGACTCTCGGGTCGGATCGAAAAAAAGGGGTCCTGGTTATCTGGAGAAATGAATCTGTTCTGTCTGTGTGAAGAAAAGTATATGGTTGATACCCTCGAGAATTTTTTTTCACCGTCAATCATACTCTGTCGAGAGACTTTTGTGATATGATGATTAGCGTGCATATCTCATCACGGCCCGAAAGAAAAAGAGTATGATTGACAACATAAGGAGAAGTCAAGTATAAGGGGATAAGGGACAAAATATATGGCACTCGTCAAACTGCGGCGACATTGACTGACTGATTGACTGCCTGCCTGCCTGCCTGCCTTTCTTTCTCCTTCTGTCTGTGTTTGTGTCTCTCTCACACTCACTCACACTTGCACCTCGAGTCTCCTCTACACCTTCCGTTTTAACTTCCCATCATCCTCTCCGTCGTCTTCTTCGTCGTCAATCATCTAATCAGGCATCTAATACTCTACAGCTCGCCATACCTATCAAGATCGCTCTCAAGTGTATGAAGTACGACAACGAGGGCCCATGTTGTGTGGGGTTTTGTTTTTCGCCGAATCGAATCGACTTGGCTCGACACCCTCCCAAATCTCCACACCATCTCGAGCTCCCGAAATCCAATCCGACCTTTCGACCGTCTCCGTTCCAAGCTGAATCGAATCAATCAGCGTTGACGGTTGACGAGGCTGACCGCCCCCTTTCAAGGCCTACCTACCTACACAAATACCTGTCTGTACGTACATACATACATGGGATGTGCAGACGAGTCGGGTCCCAAGGGCTCGCATGGGCGGTGTACAAGGAGAAGGGCAAAAAACAGAAAACAAGGACATTCCGATTCAAAGTAGACGAGGCTCCTAGGAGAGGTATTCGACAGAGACGAATACCTGCTAGAGGTGGTATCCCTCACGATACAACACGCAATTTTGCCAGGAGACTCCAGCCTATTTCTGGCTCGAAGAAAGAAAAAAAATCAGATACGCATGGAATGGCCAAGTCGCCGGTTTGGTCCAAGCACCAAAGCACACCGCAACATCGCTTGATCCTCCTTCAGCAGTTATCGCACCCGTCACAACGGGCTGTCTACTGCGCACGCCGGTGAGCTTGGGTTTGCTGAGCCTGAGCTTGTTGAGCCTGAGCCCGCTGAGCCTGAGATTGTTGAGCCTGAGCCTGCTGAGCTTGTTGACGTTGCCGTTGGAGCGCCGCGTCTCTCTCGTCCATGGCCCGAAACTCTGCTGCCTCACGCTGGCTCTCTTCTTCACATTCTCTCAACATTATCTCAAAGTCTGCTGCCTGCTTGCGCTCCAACTCTTCTAATTCTTCTAGGGAAAACATTATTATGGGTCATTTCCATGAGGACATGTCCAATCGGCTGCTCACCTTTGGACCTCAACGAGACAATGGCGGCTATGCGGTTGCCTGTCACCTGCTTTGACCAGCAGCTTTCTTTTCCAGTCATGACTGCGACCATCTCGCTGCCCTCAAGTACACAGAAGGCGACCGGGTATGTGATCATACCTCGGTTGAGGTACAGCCCGACTCTTGCGCTGTGGGATGCGTGATGGCATGGATAGTCATCCTCCGGTGGGTACGAAGTCAAGTCCAATCGGTAGGTGTTGTAAAGAGCAGACGTGATGGTGCAGCAGTCGGCATTCTCGTCACGCACCACTGGCAATGGCCGAAGTCCTCTGTTCCCCTGAGAGCGCGCGTAGACTTCTAGAATGGGCTCGTCTTGAAGACTACCAGCGTCATTGGAAAAAAAGTAATTCATGATCTGAGAACGGTCTGTGCAAGACTCTGCACCAATCAATATGGAACTCTTGGAAAGGATGGCTGAAATATGAAGAAGAGAGATTTGACAACACAAACACAGGTCCGTCAGTCTTTATATACCCCAGGCCCCTCTCTTCCGTCACCGCCTGCCTCCATTTCCAAGGTGGACAGCACAACATCGGCTTTTCCTCCAACAATGCAGCCACTCAGTAAAAAGCCCTGCTCAACTACAGATTGCTCGGCAGCAGGGCGCGATGCGACTCGAGACAGGATTCGGGCACGTAGCTCTCACGTATGCACGTGCCCTGGCTGTTGACCTTAGGCATCAATGAGCTGTTCGAAGCGGTCAACCATCCTTGTCCATTGACCATCACAAGGTCTTTTCGTCCTTCACTTTCAAAAGAAGGGGGGCCCATTCTGCGGCCAGCTATGGACAGTGAAAATCTAGGCAGATATTGTCGGTGAGGGCAAAGTCTTGAGTTAATCCTTTTATTGGAGCGTTCTCGCTTTCTGATGGTGTGCACTGAACCAGAAATCAACTGGAGCCGACCCCTGCGAATTCACGAAAGAATGAGGCTGAGGCTATGTCCAAGATGCAAAGATGGCACTCTGTCAGTGGATATCCTCCTTGACCGGTTATCTCTGGCATCGCTCTGTCAATCCTCCCTCAAACAGACTTGCAGCCCGAGCTCTACAGCATTTCGGTAGCCCAAATGAGCATCAGCAAAGGGGAGATATTTGTCTTCCAGGAGATAAACCCTGGCCCACCGAGGTCTATGTGGTCTACACTGCATACGCAGAAGAACCCACGCATATTGGTGACTGGATTTCTCTTCCCCGTCGAACTTGAGCAGCGGCACAGGGCGATCCAGCGGGAAAATGCGCATATTTCCACGCTGCGCAACCGAAAATCGGGCCACTGTGACATTGGCTCCTGTGTCCAGCAGCGTAGTCAAGGGACAGTCCCATCCTTGCGCGTTGATGCAGAAAAGTGGTACCCGGGGTTGATCCTCACTGGTCTTCCAGCCCAAGAGTTGATGAGAGTGCAAAGCGAAGCTGGTAGCGCTAGCACTCGCGGCAGACGCAGGGATGGTTGCAGGCTCGAATTCCTGCTTGACACGCGTCTGCGCCTCGGAGGCCACACGGTATAGATTCTCCGCAGACACGACTGAAGAGGCTGTACACGAAGATTCAGCATCGGTGTGGCTGTTGTAATTGCGCCGGCAGGATAAGTCGCTCACAACCTCCTGATATGCAGCCATTCCTTGTTGTGGCTTGCCGCAAGTCTCTTCCATGATCCTATTTGAGATCCATTCCAATACTTCATCCACACTGATTGGTTGTTTACAACCCGAAGAACGACATAATTGCTCAGTTATTCGCGACAATACTCTAAGGTCGTCAGGTTGCAATCCGATAGCATCACAACGCTCTCTGGTATTTTCATTTTGTATGTAGGCTGGTATCCCTTTCTGGTCTTCTCCTGTATCTTGATAGAACCCGCTGTAGGACATTGGAGAGAGGAGTTTGGTGGACGCAACTTGTTCCCCCTTTTTTCTGTGTGTGTGGAAATTCTTTGTGTCGGTTGAAGGAGTCTTCGCGTGTGCCCGTGGACAATGAGAGCGGCTCTGTAAAGGGGGGCTGATGATTCCCTTTCCTTCCTTTTCCGAGGGGGCCAGGGTACGGGTATCAAGGTCGAGCGAGGTGATTTGGAAACGAGGGAGGTAGATTCAAGAGGCGTGGCCAATCCAATCTGGCCTTCTTTGCAGTGCAAATCACGTTGAAGAAGAGTGTGCAAAGAGGGGAGAGAAACTCGAACATAGAAGCGGTACGATGAAGAAGCGAGAATACAAGTTCGCAATTATGGCATACGACAAGGTGGCCACCAAAAAGAGCGAGGGCAAATGTGCGCAGCAGAAAATCCGAAAAGACGGTTAGCAGACTGCCAGAATTGGCTGGCTGGCTGGCTGGATGGCCCACCACACAACCAATGAATGGGACGGCCGAGGGAAGAGACACAAGTAGGAGCCTTGTTGAGCAGGTCAACAGGGAAGTAGTCGTCGCTGCACCGGAATGGGGGAGGCCCGGCGGAGCGAGGGCGACGGGTTGGCTCCCCCAGTGCCTAAGAGCTGCGCGGGAGAGAAACAGCACCGCTGGTCTGACCGTGTCATGCAGGCGGGCGTAGAGGGCCATCAGTAAACCCTCACCACACAACAAACGCATTGTACTCCAAACCCCATGGTCCAGGTTCGGATTCAGGGGAAAGGCATGTGTGAGCCCATAGCAAAGGCTTTGGTTCCAACGGAGACAAGAAACCCTGCCGCGGTGGAAAGTCTCATGGTGGAAAAGGAGCACAGGAGTCTGTCCAGGTGCTTTGCAAAGTGTTCGTAACATGTCGCTGCTGGTCTCTGAGGACGTCGCAACTCGCGAGGACATTTCATGACAAGCCCCAACACGATTGCCAGGGCTGGGCTTAGTGCCTAGGGCCTGGGACCCATGATCCAGGGCTCCATCGGACCCCAGAGGTTACTGGGTCCCAGTCGCGCTGCCGACGGTGTGCTGTTTAGCGTGAGATTAGCCCGTTGGGGCCAACGTTAGGTGTTGTTGATAGGCCACAACTGTTCTTCCTACCTCGAAACAAAAAGTCAGCGAGAGTCAACATCCATTGCCGCAATGATGAGCAGAAAGATGACCGCGCATCCAGCACAACAGGTAAGAGGTCGAAAGGAATTTCATCAAACAGATCTTGGTGAACTTATGATGGCCCTCGGATGCACACCATATCGCAGCGTGAGATTGACTCGGTGACCAGTTTCTCGGTCGTTTGACCAGACGCACGAACACAAGGGACGGGCCTTCGTATGCTGTCCGGGTCGATGCGACACCATGCAGCTCACTTGAAGTCTTCGTTGCGGTGTGATTTGCATTTTCGAGATGCATATGATATTGACGGGTTTTGCCATGTCCCCGATGTGCGTCACGTGAATTGCATCTGACTCGACCTTGCTTCTCTTTCTGCGACTTGAAAACTTTAAGAAAAAAAAAAAAAAAAAGGTTACAATCCCCAAAGACAGAAAACAGAAGATATAGGGGAACCGGCAATGCATATCTGCTCCTTACTTAAAACTCAGGCAATCCTACTTGTCTCGCCGAAATTGAAGTCGACTCGACCGGGCTCGCGTGTGCCTTTTCTCGGCTTCCTCGCTGAGCCCGAGCTGTCAAGCCCCAATCCGAGCTGTTAGGCGAAGAATGTGTCCAATCATCGAAAACTAGCGGTGCGGTTAAGCGCCGCGGCCTGCAGGAATTGCTGCTGGAGAGGAAAAGCCCCGGCTCAATTGGTCCACATGGTCGATGCAACGGCACAGAGGTGAAAGATATTGAAAAGGGCAGTATCCGACAGTGGTCCAGTGTGGGTTCGAGGTGGAGGGTAGGGGAGAAAAAAGTTTTGAGCAAGGTTACGGGAGGGAGACGCAATGGGACGAGCCGACCTCTTATATGCTGCCAGTGCTTCTACCACTCAGTAGGGAACATCCCTGGACCTCTGAGCGTGGCGTCTGCAGAGTCATTGTTCAATCACGATCATCGCGTGCATCCCGCCCTATCAAACAACACACTCGCTCTGGATGGTGTACCACTAACCAAGCGATGGCACAATGGTCTTTGAATTTGACTTGCAGACATGCAGCCAATGCACCCTCTAGGCCACTATTTGCATGCAGTCGGGGCGTCTTCATGCGAACACTTGGTTCGTGCTGCGATCCTCTCGACTGTAACAAGTCCACCCACAACGGCTTGTCTTACATGAACTTTGCTTGGCCCGCTCGGACACCGGCTCCTTTGTCCTTGTCAGCTGCCTCTTCCTCCCTCACTCTACCCTCGTCCTTGGCCTGCAATCCATCTTGGGCAATGTCTGCATCATGTCGGGCAGCAACATTCAGGGAACAGCACAGGAGAACAATGAGGCTGACTCTGCCAACTGTAACCCGGCTGTGCCCCTGATGTGATGGCGGCCCTCATATTCAACGGGCTCCTCTGCGGCCATGTCTCGCCCGTGTATACCGTTTGCTCAACGATAAGAGTTCAACATGAATGGGTACGACGCTATGTGCTCAGACATGGCTACCAACCCCGAAGCTGTCATTTTCCGGAAATTCACCATCCTAAACTACCGCGCCCTGTTGTTGCTCCAGAGTGAACTAAATCAGAAGGAGGGTCGTCTCGTCTCCTTGATCAAACATGACCAGAACTCCCTCGACCCGGAACGAAGGCAATTCTCGTACAGCTTCGATGCCATGCTGAGATCCAATGGCGAGACCGAGGGTTCAACATTACAGAGGGAGTTGATGCGAGAGATTTGCCGTCTCCTCCCAAACTACAGCATGTGGTTTTTGTTGATCCCCCGTTTCAAATCAAACTACTTTTCCCTGTATGTTTTTTGCTCGGGTCCTGCTGACTTTTTTTCTGGGAGCTGTTGTCTTGCGGCTCAAAAGATGAATTGCTCCTCCAAAACCGCCAGCTCGGCCACCTCCCTCCCGTCCACGAACCCAGCCTCAAGCGCCTCCGAGAGGCCCAAATGAGCGCGCAAGGGGGCAACAGGTTCCTCCGCGGCCGCGAGCAGCGGATCTGGAGCGAGAAAAAGCAGTACGATCTCACATCCCTGACGGATCGGCAGGAGGACAGAGACCCGCTCTCGTCGTGGCTGGAGTGGTGCATCACAGATGTCTGGCACAAGTACTTTGGCCACAAACTCTCTCCCCCAAAACCCGTCGATGAGGATTGGGCACCGGCCGTGCCGAGCAAGCTGGGCCAGTACCCACGATCACTCATTGCGAGAGTCGTCACCGGCGTCACCACGATCCTCGCGCCCATCTTCGTGACGCTCTCGGCCGTCGTCTTGTTCTTTGTCGACAGCGAGTCCAAGCGCCTGGGCCTCATCGTCGGGTTGAGCTTCCTCTTCAGCCTCGCGCTGGCTTGCGTCGGGGTGCCACGCAGGATCGATTCGTTTGTCGCCACGGCTACCTTCACCGCTGTGCTAATTGTTTTTATCGAGAACAACACAGACTGAAAGTGTTGAAGAGAGGGTATTTTGAGGGGTTGTGTCGACACCAAAAACAAGAAGAGGAAGAGGTGGTGGTGGTGGTGGTAAAGAGGTGGATTTTAGTTTGGACACAGGAAGTTTTGGACAATCTTTCTTGCTTGTTGCTCTACTCTCCTCTGCTCTTGTCAGATTCTCCATCAGTCCCAGCAAAGGGAGTGCTAGAGAGGTTTTTCTTGCTCTTCTGACGAGGACAGTTGCAGATGGATAGAACTTCATAAGCTTCTGTATTGGTAGAGATTCACTTTCATCATCGTTTTCAATCTCTGCTGCCACTGCCATCGCCACGTCCTTCCCAAGTTTCAAGCGGTATATCTATGACCGCCTTCGACACACATCTATTCCAGGCCTTTCTTTCGTCCTCCCATCCAACTTTTTATCTCTTTGGTGGGGGGATGTTACAAGGTCCAGACGGTCGGTAGAGCGTGTCTCTTGTCCTACACCAGACCTACTCAACCTTCTAACGATACAAATCCAATCCTCTCTCTTTTGGGGGCAAACGGAGCACCCAAAAAGAAGAGCTGGCCCAAAGAGACCCTGTAATCACGGATGCACATCTTATGGAGTTTCTCTGACCATCTAGAGTTCTGGGTGTTGCGAAAGAAAAAGATGAGCAGCGTTTTGGACACTCCAAGGGGGGGTTTTGCGGGGAGGGGGGAAGCCTATACAAGCTTACTATTGGGTTCGTGTCGTGGTACCCGGTAGAGAGGAAGGTATCAATCACGGCACGGAAAATAACCTCCAGGGTGTAAGTTCTGGGGTTACATCCAGGTGCAAGGGCCCAGCATGCGTAGGGCCTGAAGGTCCCCCGGAGAGAGCACACTTGGGCATGTTGATCCGGGACCCTTATTTCGGTAGTTGTGTGGGCAGGCACCTGGGACAAGATGAGGATGAGGATGAGGATGAGCGACTTCTTCTGGCCCCTGGGACGAATAGGTCGGTCAATCATTCAGTCAGTCAGCCCCCCTCCCTAAAAAGGGACTCCCCTCCCCCCTGTGCGCGCACTCACGTTCGATATCAAAGCGAGACCAGACCATTGTTCAACCCATCGATTATTAGCTTCTGGCAGTTGGAAAGTTGGACGCGGAAGCGGGAAGCCGCGGGAACTGCCTCTTTTGCTTAATTTCAATTGTGGACCCGAGAAAATGTGACGAGGCAGCGAGGCTGAAAACCCCTGGGAAGGCGCAAAGCCTTCTTTCTCTTGTCACAGGAGCGCATTCATTGTGTTCCCCCCCCCCCCCCCCCCTTCTCTTTGAATGACCTGACATATTGAATCATTGTAAAGGAAATTTGCTCTTGTTATTCCTGCGAATCGACTGAGAACTAGCGACACGTGACTTCCCAAACAAAAAGAGAAGAGCCATAGTCTTCTTTTCTCCTCACCGCCATGTTGACCGGGAGTTCTTACTCCCCATATTACGCTCTTGATGCTCCCAGGGCATTACAACCCCGTCGTGTAAGAAAGAAGAAGAAGAAATAGTCATAAAAACCTGGTTTGCCTTTTCTATCCCTCCTCCCCCCTCCTCTGGCCTCTTCCCATCCTCCAAAAAGAGTCCCAGCACCCACGCAAAAGAAAAAGAAAAAGGAAGGGTATGTCTGCCATCCCTCTCAGGATACGGGTGGCTACTTCGAAGACTCTCCTCTTATCTTTTTGTCCTTCTCGTGCCGGTCCTCTTCTTTCTTCTTGCTCTTCTCCTTCTCTCTCCGCTTGGCCTCTTTTTTGGCCTCTTCCTTCTGTCGCTGTTTTTCTGTTCCACAAGTGTAAGTAACGGTGGAAGCGGATCCCCAAAACAGCAAGCAAGCAAGAACCACAACGAGAGTGAGCTGGAAGCTTACCTTTGGTGCTCAGGTCACTCTTGTTTGCGACAGGGAGGGCGTTCTGCCAAGGACGTTGTCTCAATGACCTGGTCAGGATCACACCCCGGTCGTCGCTGCTAACTATGCAGAATTCCCCCTTGAAGCCATCGGGACTGTCCTTCGAATTGCATCTCAACGTGATCGTGCCGATGCAGCTGCCAGGGAAACCCGGGTGAGAGTGTTCATCTGGAGTGAACGTCACTTGGTGGCCGTAGACTCGTCTCAAGGTCCCCAGATCGATTCGGTGACGAGGCAGGTCACAATCTACCGATGCAAGCAGAGATTGCCACTTCCCGACACTGTTGACGATCATGACGTCCTCACGATTCTCGAAAGGGTACTCTCGCTGCTGCTGCTGCTGCTGTTCGCCATCGTCTTTGAGAATACTCTCACGGTTTTCAGCTGGTATTCCTGGTGTATCCATGGTGGGGACTATTCAATCTGTTTGGCTTTTTCCCCCTTCCTCTTTCACATGCAGTCGAGTGGCGGCTAGCAGCAATTATAGGGGATCTATAGAAACTGCTCTTGAGGCTGAGCACCCCCCTTTCGTTTGACCGCTGCTGCAGGGAAACAAGAACTCCATAGGGACAAGGCAACCAGAAGATGGACCTCTACGGACACATCCATCCAGTTGTGCGCACGGGAGCAGATTGATGCACCAAGGCACCAAAGTGCTGTGCAGGTGGTCATCATACGTGCCTAACACTACCAGGTCTATTCAGCCACGACCACGCCTCGCAGCAAAGGCAATTAAGCCCTTTACCCTCCAAGGGAGGTCGGGTTCTGGGCACCATTGGTCTGTATGGCCTTGAAGCAGGGAGATGTCAGCCAATAGATGCGGCCGTCATGTGTCTGGGGAGTCTCATACAAAAAGTATCGGTGAGAACCCTTTTTCGAATCAGAAGTCTATCTATTTCTACGTTCACTCCTCATTTGTACAGCGAGCCCAAAACGCCCCGTTTGAAGCCTTCCTTTTTTTTTCAACAGTTTTTTGGCTCCTCCGCCCTCCCTTGCCACGTCACTGACCCAGACAGTCGAACAAGAACAGAACAGGCGCCCTCCACCAGGATAGGAGTTTCCATCCTCCTTACACCGGTCAGGACGAGGCGCTGCCGAGCACAGCATTGTCGCATGCCTCACATTGAGGTCGAGGAAGATGACCCAGCTTCATGGTCAGCTGCACACTCAGGAGTGCTCGGTGGCCAGCAAGGTCATGCACAATGTGGAACTCGGCCGATCGTTGATTGCTATCACACCGGAGCCAGAACGGGATCTGGACCGTCCCCATCGAGACAGCTACATGCTCTTCGATGCCTCCTACAATCGTGCCCCTCTTTTCCGCGCCGGGCTCATACCCCAGCTCAGCCGCCGCAGTCGCAGTCATCATGTTGAGGTCGGCGCCGGTGTCCATGGTCGCGAAGAAGTAATCTACCTTGCCATTGCGCATCTGCACAATCAGCTCGAGGCTTCTGTACTCACGCACCCGGGGGTTGTTGCCCGCAATCAATGGTTCTCGCACAGGGAGTACGGCTGGAACAACACAGTTGGGACCTGCACCATCCACACCATCGCTCTCCGGTGTGGGTTGTTGACGATTCGACGCAGGGAAGCAGCAGTCGCTCGATTTTGGAGGACAGGCAGAAGAAACCTGACCACTACCTCTGAAATTTTGCCCTGCAGCCTTGTGGGACCTATTCTCCCTGCTGCAGCCACCACCACGTCTATCGACCGTCCTTTTCACTTGTGATTGGTAGAAAATTCCGCCCATCAAACGCCTTTTCAAGCTCAGACGGGGATCTCCTTTATGCCATTGCTTCCATTTTGCAGATGTAAGACCTCGTTTCAACACACCTCTAACACCCCCTGGAGTTTTTGTGGTGGCATTAATGTCACTCTCGGTTGGTGGTGGCAGCGAGGGAGGGTGGGAATTTTCTCTGACGCCGTGTCTTTGGGGAGGGTCATCAGGACGATGCATGTCGAAAATCAACTGTGTGGGCAGCTGCGTGGGCGTTCGTTGATCGTTTTCATGATTGGGAGGAAAGATATTCACGGTGACCGCTGGCTGGCTGCTTTGGCTGCAGTGGAAGTGGATATTCACAGCCATGAGTGTGACGGTTTTTTTTTTTTTTGGAAGATGGTCACAGGTTGGACGCCAATCGTTCTCGTAGGGAAGGAGAGAAATGAAAGAGATCTTAGCTTTCCCCCTCCAAAAGGATTCCAAAGAAACGAATCAAAGAGTGATATTGACGAGCTTTCGACAAGCAGTTACAGCACGAGGACACAGGAGGAAAGAAAGGTGCACGTGCAATAGACATCACAACAAAAGAAAAAGGGGGGCGGGCTTCAACGACTGCGATTCTGACCCATGTACCGGGTTAGCGGTACTCGGTACCTCGTAAAGCACCACCAAAGCCCACTCGTGTTTATTCACGGATCTGAGCTCTGTGGTGACCCTTGGACGGCGCCGAGATTAGTGCAGAAGCGCGCTGAAGGGGGTAAACTTGGATACATTGCCTCCATCTCCAACCTCGAAGACTGCTGGGAAAGCCACAGGATTGTGTGTTCATGGGGAAGAATATCCTGCGCAGATGAATAGCCCCTTACAGGGATACTGCAGGCGGAGGAGTCCAGGCCTTTGGGCTTGTCGCTTCAGGCGGACTCGGCGGTCGAGTGTCAGGCAGACCCAAATTCACAGATGTCCGCACAAGTCAGGGGTGGCTTCGTCATGTGATTCAAAGACCGCTGAACCGTGTCGTCGGTGCTCTGGTGCTCTGGCATTGAGTTTTGTAAGACTGTTGCGGCGTCGTGTCCAAGGCTCGCGAATGTGTTGATCTCGGCGTAGCGTGCGTGATAGCAGACGCGTTTGGTCGCGTGGAACGACTTCACGGCGTGAGGAGAACTCGTAGGCGTTGGTGGAACCCTGCTAGCTCCTTGATCCTTACCTGCTTTGCGAAAGAGCGATCCACCAGTGCACAAGTAGGGCAGCCCACCAGCAGCTTCCTCAAGTCTGAAACGACGGTCCGTGGGGGTTGCACGGCAACATTCAGGCTCATCAGGTGGCAGTCAGCTGATCCGAAGCCGTGCACGAGCATGCCATCCAACGCATGTTTCCCTCTCCGACCAGACAGATATCGCACCCGTCAGAAGAACTCGAGTATTTCGGACATTCATTCCGCGCCGTCGAGATGCTGCTGGGTCTCTGCCCGAAGTCGTTCGAAGATTCTTCCTGGGCTGGTAGGCCATTGATGTGGTTGACAGAGCCATGATTTCTTTCTGTACCACCAAATTCGCCCGAACTTCACCCGCCTTGAACAGCTCCCCGTATGATCCACTTTGTCACGGTTGGCGGTTTGCCATCAACTTTCCACTCGGAAAGGCAGGATTTCTGCAGATCTTCGGGGGTTTTTTCCTTGTCCCAGGACTTGTCAAGATACAAACAGACAGGGAGGATCGAAGAGAAAGTCGAAGATGGATGTCGGACTGTTCAAATATGTGGGCATGGTCGGGGTTGGTGCTGTTACGGGTAAGGCTTCTTTCAGTAGCGAACTGCCGGAAACAGTCAATCAGGTGTGTTCTCGGTGTATTAGCCTCGCCTGCGGATCAAATTGGCGCCCCCCAATCCGAGGGCGATTCTTCGTGGGTCGGAAAAGGAATGGTCACAAGAAACGTGAGAAAGAAAGATCGAGCGAAGAAAAGAAAGAGAGTGTTCGCCGTGAGCAACGTGGGCTGCTTTTTATGCTTTTTGGAGATGTTTGTCTCGGAGGCCCCCCATCTCCTTCCCCTGAAGTCAGTTGAGCAAACCACTCTCGCAACCCCAACACCGTCACAGCTATCACGCAGCCATGTGCTGCCGCCTTTACCTGGGTCGGAAAGCTGCCATTGGTGGTCGCAGCAAACCGCCATCTGAGAGTGTCTGGGGTTCGCGGATGGCTGGCTCCTAACCCTGAACCCTCCCTGCTGCTCCTGTCTCTTTCTCTGGTCGCAACTCATTCGTCGCAGGCTGCAGCAAGTAGTCTGTGACACTATGACCCATCAGCCTCTGTCACTGGTCTGCTCCGTGGTTTGGGCACACCATGCAGCCGGATTGCCAACTCAGCACTGCATGCGGTGAAGGGGTGTCGTGAGCCTCATTCTGCACCTCTGCGCTGCGCTCTTCCCATGTCTGCCTCCGATCAGGGCTGTTGTTGTAGGATATCACCCTTCTATCTCAAGTACGGTCCAACATGGAGGCAACGAAAATGGACGGCTACAATGAGCTTGCAGGTCTGATGGGCTCTTATCAGGAGCTTTGCATCTTCCGAAGGTTTCTCATCTTGAATGCCAGGGACTTGCTCTGCCAACAGGCTGAGATTGTGAATTTGGAGCATGACCTGCTGGTAGCCATCAGGGACGACCGCAACTCCGGCGACCCGCTGAGAAAAGAGTTCGAGTACGACATCTCGGCTCTGAAAGGCCCACACGAGCATCCTCGTACTGGTCTTCAGTGGACCAGAACTCTCGAGATGCGAAAGCTGCTCAAGGAGTACAGTGCGTAAACCTCCCCCTTAGCGTCTCCATCCGTGGCCCGTCTCGGGAAGAATTTGTGTTGACATCCTTGGTGCTTACCTACCAGACACTGCCCTTCTGCAATTTGCCTCCCTCTGTCGACTGGCTCCTGTGAACAAGTCCGACTTGGCCACGCTTCACGAGTTGCTCGAGAAGCGGGACGGCTGTAAAGAGCCAAAGGGCTGTAAAGAGCCAGACGGCTGTGGAGAACTGTTTCTCACAGCTCATGAGTACGAGACATGGGACGAGGAAAACATTAAGGACCTGACATCGGTGGCCGGATTGTACACTGATAGAGACGCTCTCTCAAGATTCATCGATAAGATGGTGAAATCTGTCTACCACAAACACATAGGCCACAGACTCCATGACCCCCTCTCGGTGACCGAGGCGTGGGCAGGTGCAGGAAAACACAAACACATCATCAACTATCCTGACAGCTATATCACCAACGCCATCGACACTCTGTCGACCATTTTAGCCTCGGTGCTCCCAACCATTGCCGCTGTGGGAATATATCTCCTGGATGATTCCATGACGAGGATGGCGGTTATTATAGCGTGCACTCTTCTCTTTTCCACAGTGTTCTCATTGGTTGCCAAACCCAAACGAGCCGAGTGTTTCGTGGCGTCTTCTGCCTTTGCAGCTGTTCTGGTCGTCTTTGTGGGAAATTCTAATGGGAATTCGTGCTAGGACGACGGGTTCGAGACGCAACGAAAACGAGCTGGACGCGTGACGGGTTCGACGAGTTGCGGCAGAGGCCAGGAATGATTCATGGGTGGACAACGGACCTGTGGCTTTGGCGAGAAATGCTCATGGTGCCTTTCTTTTTCTGCAATAATGATGAGATGATGATGATGATGGTACACAGCCCGTGTGGGAAGCGAGAGCCTGCATCGATCCTGCCACGAGAACGGACTCTGGACACAGCCACTCTTTTAGTTAGCAATGGCAAAGCAATTGGTGTTTTTTGTTTCTCTCCTGTGCAAACGACTTTGACCACTGGTCCGTATTCCTCGAATGCCATCTTTACCTTGGGTTCTTTCATCATACTTGGTATACGTGCCCAAACCTCAAGGCACCGTAATCTTTAGCATTCGCACTGCGGTCGTTGACTGTGGGGTGAGATAAAGCGTCAGGTGCCGGGACCAGTCTTGACGAAGTAAATTGTGGTAATGAAATCATCGAGCAGCATGGCGAGGATGCTAAGTCTCTGGCAATATTGTCCAAAACTACAAGTAGAGTCGAAGAAACCATGGGACGCAAAACTCGTAGCGGTTGGGGTGATCTGAGCAGCAGAGGTTTTTGCTGGTCTTCGGCTTTTCACAAAGGCAATGTAAGCGATTTGCAGGGCTAAATCTCATTCTCGGACGAACTGCCTAATAATTAGTGATACCAATAACGAGTCCATACTTGCTCACTGACCCGACTCCAATCCTTAGCATCCGCTAGACCGGTCTCGATGGAGTGGCTACACTTCATCGGCGCTCCCCCCTTGCCCCCCATTACTCCGAGCCAGCGTCATTTCCTTCTCATCGCCTCACCAACGTGGGTCACCACCTCCCAAACTCTATGCGCTGCTATATAACACGAGTACCAGTTCTCAGCGCCTCTTTCAAGTGCAGGGCTGAGGTTGAGATAAGGCATTGCATTGATTGGGCGCGTTAATTTAGCTTTCCCGCCCCGGGAACAGATGCGAACTGTGGTGCGAACAGGTGGAGCCCTCTCCTCTTTTTTTTTCTCTCTCTTCAACATTTTGTCACTGGGAACTGCGGGAATTGCCTGATTGAGAAGCCCATGTTTTGGGGGAGCCGAAGAGCGAATCAGGCATGGGCGAACAACGCATGGGTCGGCCCGGCCTAGTCTTGCCTTTCATTGACGCGAGATGCGCAAACGGGACGGCACGTTCTGTCTGTTTGCTTGTTCGTCTGTCTTGTCTGTCTGTCAGGTGGTTCATTCCCAAGTCCGTCATCACTCCAGCTTCTGTGGATTTCTGCCAAAAGTTGACGTGGTCGGGCGTTCGCATACAAATCGGGCGCTGGGAAAAGGCGGTGTGCGAAGGGGGTGTCTGTACATGCCAACTAGCCTGTGCCTGAGCCAACCAGCGACTTACAAGGAGGCTGTTCAGGACGGTTGCAAGGCTGAGGATCCGTCACTACCTGCAGAAAGAACCTGCGGCCCTATTCATGACCCGAATTCGAGGCCCGGAACAGGGCGTGCGCGAAAACAAACAGGTTGGGCGCTGTTGCATAGCCGCAACACCGTGCGTGACCGAGCAGAATTTCTCGACGCCGAGTTCCCAAGAGATGGATGCCTAAGCTAGAGGTGAACCAGGAGCACTAAGGAGGAAAGGAAAGGGGAGGGGGGGAGAAAAACAAACAGGGTGGGTAATCAAGGACTTAGTAGGACATGACTATTGCTGCCAGCAATTGGTCCGGACGGGGAGTGAAGAGAAGATAGAGTCTGGTTGATATCCATACAATTCTTTTTTGGTAGTTGTTGTGCTCAGTGTAACACGAAGACCTCGTTTGTTAGGGTACAGGATTTTCCTTCACTTAG